GTCATTCTGGAATTCCTTCCATCGCCTAGACAGGCCATGCTCTTTCCTATGCCACATCTTTATGGCTGCTGTTCTATCTAAAATGCCCAAACTCCTACACATCCTTATGGCTTAGCAGAAAAGTCCCCTCTTCTGTGAGGCTTCCTTAACTCCTTCCGGCACAGTCAGTCTCCACAGCACTGTTCTGACATCCGCTACGCATCCTTTTGCACAGTCATCAACCTATGTCTGTTTCCTCCACCAAACCGTTAACTCTGGAGCCTAGGACCTAGAGTAGGTAGACCACAGATGTTCATTGAATAATTGTCACTCTGCCCAAAAACTGAAGTGCTTTTCTAAAATGTAAATCTGAGTGTCACTCCCTGCTTTCCTAGTGCCTCCAAGTTCAAATTTGTTACAGTGGCCTTTTCTCTGGCCTCATCTTGCAATTCTTTCTTTTTTTTACGCCATGAACCCTGAAGTTCTTTTAATGCTCCAAATCAGGGTTCTTTCTCACCTTGAGGTTTTATGCATGCTTCTTCCTCTGCTCCTCTGCATGGCTCTACCTTCCCATACTTCAGATAGCTTAAATACTCCAGGAAGCTTTCTTGGGCCCCCTCCCCACCCTCAGATGAGGCCGAGGGTCCCACCTATGTGTCCCCATAGCACCTTGTACTTTCCCAGTTGCAACATGCATCATGCTGTGTCAGAATGACCGGTTTGTCTTTCTTTCCTGCGAAACTAAATTCTGTATCTAACTTGCCCAGTATGTCCCCAGCCCCAAACACAGTGCTTGGATGAGGGGAGGTACCTGATAAATGTGTTAAAGGAGGGTTAGAAAAATGAATTTCTTAGCTGTCAATCTGTTTTTCAGTAGCTCTCCACTGCCTTTTGAACAAAGTCCCTTTAGCTCTTTATCATCTGTCCTCATGTATTGTCAGTCTCCTCTCTTCCGAACCCACCCTTTGATCTCAGCATCTCACTCAAGCTCCACATGAAAGTCCTGTTGAACTGCTTGAAGGTCCCCACATGCCTGCAGTCCCATCTTTCAGCCTCAGCAGTGCTGATCTGTGCCTGGTGCACTCTGGGCTCTCCTCACTTCTCACTTCTCTTCCTTTTTTGGCAAACATCCACTTATTAATTATTTTTTTTAATGTTTATTTTTTAGACAGAGATACACAGATACAGAGTGCGAGTGAGGGAGGGGCAGAGAGAGAGGGAGACACAGAATCCAAAGCAGGCTTCACATTCTGAGCTGTCAGCACAGAGTCCAACCCGGGGCTTGAACCCATGAACCGTGAGATCATGACCTGAGCCGAAGTTGGATGCTTACCTGACTGAGCCACCCAGATGCCCCCCATTAATCTTGAATCCATTTAATCTTTCAGTTCAGATACCTCTTCCTTCAGGAAGCCTTCCTTGAATTCCTAAGAGCAGTTCTTAAGACGTGTAGTATTCTGGGCTTTCTTCCTTCTCACCATTCTGTTTTCCTAAGTAGATGGTTAAGTGGAAACCTGAACTACAGTATCTCGAATGTGAACCCACTGCCTGCACACAGTGGGCACTCCTGAAATATTTGTAGAATAAACTATATTTCCTGGTCTTATTTCTTACTGTTGGTGCATGTGTCCTGTCTTCCAAAAGCAGGTTGGAAGCTCCATGAAGTCAGTGAGGGAAGCTAAGGTGTCTAGGGGCCTCACTCCAGGCCTGAGCTTAATTTCTGTCCCCAGTAAGGCTGATATATGTTGCTTGGAGGCTGTGCTGTCAGACATTTGACCAATCTATTAATCAGTGGAGACTTGGCTTAATGTTTTTGGAAGCCTGGGTTTGGGATCACGGTGACCTTAGATACCTTTTTTTTAGACATGACTAAAGCCAGTGCCAATGCATATATCTTTTTGAGTTAATGTTTTTGTTTTCTTTGGGCAAATGTGCAGTAGTGGAATTACTGGATTATATAGTATTTCCTTTTTAATTTTTTGAGAAATCTCCATATTATTTTCCATAATGGCCACACCAGTTTATATTCCTACCAACAGAGCCCGAGGGTTCCCTTTTCTCTACATCCTTGTCAACACTTGTCTTTTTGTTACTAGCCATTCTGACTGGTGTAATAACTCATTGTGGCTTCGACTTGCATTTCCCTGATGATGAATGCTGTTGAGGAGGGATGGGCAAAACAGACGAAGGGGACTAAGTGGTACAAACTTATAGTTATACAATAAATAAGTCGCAGAGATGGAAAGTACAGCATAGGGAATGTAGTCAGTAATATTGTAATAATGTCATATGGTGGCAGATGGTGACTACACTGTGGTCAACACTGAGTAACGTATAGAATTAACATGTTGGGAGCGCCTAGGTGGCTCAGTCGATTAAGCATCTGACTTGATTTTGGCTCTGATCATGAGCTCATGATTGTGAGATCGAGACCTGCTTTGGGCTCTGCACTGGACACAAAGCCTGCTTAAGATTCTCTCTCTCCCTCTTCCTCTGTCCCTTCCCAGCTCATGCTCTCTCTCTCAAAAATAAAAACAAAAAAATAAGAATAAACAAAATTAATTAAGTAAAAAACTGTATACCTAAAACTAATAAAACATTTTATGTCGATTGTACTTCAACAACAAAAGAATAATAAAGCTGAAATGACTAAAATACATAAATAAAAGCCAGCACCAGGAACAGTGTCAGGTACCTGGCTGGTTTCAATAGATGTTTGTTGAATGAGTTCTGGAACTGAGAGACAATGACAGGGAGGCGGGCTGTGCTTGTTCAATCTCACCATGTTCTGGGCTCAGACATTCCAATAGAATGGAATAGTTATAAGGAGGGAGATCATGTGTTCACATTCCAAACTCAAGATGAGGAGAAACATACTAAAAATCTGAGAAAGGGTGGACAAAGCTTTTTGGATAGTGATTCAATGGCTTCAAACCCTTCTCTGGTATATAAGCTGTGCTTAATAGCTGGACTCAAATGAGATCATTAAAAGGTAACGTGACCCAAATGAAATTTGCCACCCTAATGTGAGATACGGAAATAGACTCTAACTTGGCAACGTAGGACATGGAACCCCTCCTGCTGTCTGCAAAACTTCAATAGTGAATAAGAACCACAGTGCAAATTCCAAGAATCAAGACTAGAGAAATGCAAAGAAATACCTTTGAGACAAAAGATTGAGGGGCAGCATTTTAATATATAAACAGTCAGGCCAGGCCGGAGCCTTGATACTCCAAGTGTGGTGTGGCCCAGGAACATCAGCATCCCCTGAGAACTGGTTAGAAATGTATACTCTCAGCTCCCTTCCCCTCAGACCTACTTCATTCTAACAAGACCTGCAGGTGATTGTATGCATATCAAAGTTTGAGAAGCACTGGGCTGGAACATTTTTTTAAGGTGGGTTTTTGCCCTTAAAATGTGCTTTCAGGTCAACGTAAACCCACTTAAAGTATTTTTAGCTCATTATTTGCTCCATTCTCTCTACCTGTGAGCAACACTGTCACACATCAGTGTCCTGCTCTGGGACTTTGAGATGCTCATGAATCCCAACAGCGTATAGAAGTTTGCTGCGCCATTTCTGTAGACAGTCAGTATGGGTTACAAATTTGATTCCCAAACTTCCATCAGCTGTTCCTTGTATGACACCCCCAGGAGATAGGTTGTATGATAATTTCCTTTTTGGGAGATGATGAAACCAGGGTTCAAGGAGGTTTCATGACTCTCCCAAGGGACACCAAACAAATTGACATATGAGTCAAAATGAGAACTAGAGGTTTTGATATTCCAATGTGAGGCTCACCAAACTTCGATGTCTTTTCTGTTTATATAAAGAAGATTTTTTTTTTTTTTTTTTTTGCATAGGAGACTTTAAGAACAAATTCATAGATAACTTTGTGTGAGTTACTGAATAGAAGCCATGCACATATGGGCCCCTGGGATTATGGAAGTTTAAGAGAAAACTGTCTGTCTAGTGGAGAGAGGAGTGAGCCCAGAGAGGGCCATGCCCTGCTCAGCTCCCATACTCCTGCTGCAGTCCAAAGTGACAGGTTTTGCAACCAGGAGCCTCAGAAACCTCAGCGCCTCGTGAGGGCTCAGAGTTCACTCAAGGTCTATGAGGGGAAAGGAGCCAGGACTCCCATGAGGCCATGGATATGGCTCTAGAGGTAATGTGGTGGCTTCTAGATGACAACAGCCTGTCCCCAGGAGGATGCTCATTCCTATTTGTTTCTTTCATAGATTCAGAATAGCTGATGTAACTAGACTCTGCCTAAATACATGTGGTGTGCTTCACTGGATTGGATTTCCTAATTAATTCCAATTTCCCTGGTGCAAATTGGGGCCACTTAATGACTCAGAAATGGTCAAGACTGTATACCTGGCATTGATACCAATATGCTCTTTCTACTTTGCCTGAATTTAAGATTTCTCTATCAACCCTAGCCAAACAAAGGCCCCAGATGGGGTTTGTTCAGTTTCAGCTGTCAGTATGGTGATTCTCCTAGGGTCCTCTAGAGAATGATTGCCAGGGTGGCTGCTTAAATCCACCTCCCCCCAAGCCCCCCCTCCCCTCCCCGCCCAATCCTCTCTAGACATGCATATTCAATGAGACATATTCATGTAACTGATTAAAAAACAAAAAAGATGGTGCACTTTAAAATTCCATGTAAAAAGTATTGCTTTGCTAATGTGCTCCTGCCTGTCTGCTCGCTACATGGTGCTACAAAGGATAGAGTCACGAGGAATTCAAGGCTGAAGATGTTGGGGATTTTTAGACACCACCAATGCACCCTGCACCTTATACCCTGCTCTGCAGCCTGCGTAGTTTTGGGGATTGGCCTAAGGCAAAAACTACAAAGCGTTCTAATGAGCAGAATTATATAACAGGAATGTATGTGCATATTTGACATAGTTTCTTCTCTTGAAGGGCGGCCCTCTGGCTTTGACCCATGCCCTCTCCAAGGGCTAAGAAGGAGTCCAGAGAAGGAGTCTTTTGTTCCCAGCTGCCAATTCTTCTGTAGCTCCTACGGCCCCAGGGACCTGCCCTGCTCTGCGTGGGCCCGCAGAAGCCCTGCAATTTCCACATGGGCGGGTGATTTCAGAACGATGGACAGAGCTGTTCGGCCAGCCTACAGGGAAGAAAGAAAAGGAGAAACAATTTTATCGTGTCTTCCTCCTGCCCCAGAGAAGGGTGAGTTGGAAGGACCGGGTAGGCATGGGGCATTGAAGTCTATTCCAAGCATCCAGTGACCCTAGGAGAGGTGGAGATTAGAATGGCATGAGGCTAACGAAAAATGGGTCCCCTTCCACGGAAACATCATTCACTTCTGGAAAATCTGTGCCGATGGAAATAAGAAGTGTCACACGGTTTGTTTGCTTGTTTTCCCACATGGTTTTTAATACTTCTTTTTTAAATTGGAAAATAGAGGAAAGAAAATAACTCTTCCATTTTTCCATTGCCCAGACCTTAATGAAAGTTAGCATTTTGGTATGTTTCCCTCCAGTCTTCTCTCCTGTGCAAATTTGTCGTTGGTTTTTACATAGAAGAATGATAGTATATATCAATTTTGAATCTGCTTTCGTTTTACTTTATTTTTTAAATGTTTATTTATTTTTGAGATAGAGTGTGTGGAGGAGGGGCAGAGAGAGAGAGAGAGACAGACAGACAGACAGACAGACAGACAGAATCCCAAGCAGGCTCTGCTCTGTCAGCACAGAGCCTGATGCAGGGTTCTCACTCAGGACCTGAGAGATTATGACCCAAGCTGAAGTCAGATGCTTAACTGACTGAGCCACCCAGGCAACCCCCAAGTCTGCTTTTATTTTTAACATACCATGGCACACTACAAGATTTTTCCCTCTTCTTAAAATTTTTCTTATTGGCTGTGTTAATATTCCATAAGTTAATGAACTGTTTCCTTTCTATTGGAGACTTACATTTCTAGGTCTTCACCACTATAAATATAGTGCAGACAGTATTTCCCCAATTCTACCTGTTTCTTAAGGACCAACTCTTAGAGAAGTGGGCTTACAGCATAAAAGGACATACCAATTTTTACACCTGATACATGATACCACAGTGCTTTTTACACTGCTGCAATAATGCAGGAAGCTGCCAGGCCCACTCTGTAAAGAAGCTGTATTCAGAAGGGCTCTCAGCCAACAACATGGGCCATTCTCTACAGAGAGTGGCGGGGAAGGCCAACTCAATGCAGTGGATGCTAAGCTCTGCGATGGCAGCCATGTTCTTGTATGAATGGCTCAATCCCATTCTGGAATTCTGAAATCTCAATAGCTCCCAAACCACTTTTATGGTAATTCATTTGCCTCCAAGTGAATTAGGAGGCAAAACCCGATGTGAGGCTATCTGTGACCCTTATGTAGCCCAGTTAGTGTGAATGTTTTTATACTCTGCTTCGTAAATACTCATGGATTTAGCATATTGGGGGGGGCACCCAAGACCCCACTGGACTGTTCTCTGCTCTATTGTATATGGGTGGAATTACTTCCTAAAATGTGAAAATCCCTGGAAGCAGGTGGGAGGTGTTCACCCTCAGCCTAAAGCTCTTCAGTCTTCACCAGGATGGAGTCCAGCTCCCATCAGGGCTCCACACACCTGTAAGTCACTATAATGCATGGCAAAGAGCCAAACAAGTTGAAAGAGGAACACAGATCAGAGAAGAGGATGGTGCTCTGTGTGTATATGATGTGTGTGTGTGTGTGTGTGTGTGTGTGTGTGTGTGTAGGGATGGGGAAAGCAGAGGAAGGAAGTGGCATTTCAGCAGGACCCCGAAGGATGTTCATGGGCTTCACAAAACATAACAGCTTCTTTCTCTGAAAAGGCCTCATGACTGTACCTTCCTTTTACCACCATTTGTAAGTTGGTATCTGGCGCCGTTTGATTGATCGATCTGCATGGCTACTGGCTGCAAAGAAAGATATCCCAGCACCTGGCTCAGTGCCTGCCCTTTGGTCTGCACCCAGTAAGCACTGCTGAAAGAGGGAATGCTGGATGATAACCGAGAGGTATTCATTTCAAGTTGATGAAGAGCCTGAGCAGCCTAACTCCTAATGAGTATGTTCCTAGGTTGGGCGAGTCGGGAGCAAAGCAAAGATTTTAAGCAGGGGGGGTTTTCTAAAGCACTCATGTTAGTTTGATTGAGAGGCACCTGGGTTTTTGTAGGCCCTGTGCTCTGGTTTTCATTGTGGCACTGTACACCCTCTGTGGGCACACAAAGATGGTGTGATTACAGTTATTATGGGAAAGAGCCATGGGCCAGTCCCAGGGGACCCATGCGCCTTTGAAGAGGGCCCATCTGGAGATGACAGCCTGTATCTGTGGGCTTCTCACTTGCAGACCTGGAGAGTGAGGGACCCAATTCAGCTCAGAAAGTGTGGCCAGTGAGACCACCTGGGGTGGGTGAATCCTTCAAATGCCTCTGCCGGAGCCCTGGGAACAAGGCAACAGTGTGTAGCTCTAGTGGGAACCTGGCTTGGCAAGTTCCTGCTGGGCAACACTGGAGGCCTGAAAAAGAAATGGGAAGGGCTCAGGCAGCCAGCACACGTGTGTGTGTGTGTGTGTGTGTGTGTGTGTGTGTGGTGGTAGTTGGGTTGTCTTTCGATATGACAGAACCTACTATGTATCAGGCAAAAATGAGCAAGGTATAGTCTCTGCCTTAAAAGAAGCTTTCAACTTGATGGGTGCTTTGGAGGCACCCATTGCCAGAGTAAGCCCTTCAAAGGGTAAGCCTCGGGATCCAGAGACCAGTCCTCACCACCTCCTCTTCCTCATCTCTTGATCAGCCCCCAAGAGGCTGGGTGACCAATTTCTCAAATTACCTTCTAAACCTAGAGAAAGTGCTTGCTGGCTATTCTGGGGGTTCCACATTTATATCAACCTTTAAATGGTGGTAGGATAAGAGAAACTGATTTTAGGACATGAATTATCTCTCAGTTTTCCAAGGAAATTATTAAGTCATCCAAACTTAGACACATCCTGTGTCTAAGTCTCCATAGGATATGTGCCCATTGAAACAGTATGGTGACCATGACAAGGGCTGGACCCACCCTTCAGGGTAAACCTGGAGGAACAGGGCTTGGTGCTTGGTAGGGCCTCAGTCAGCAGTCCCCTTGTCCCTATGAAATGTCTCACCCAAGTCACCTTTGGGAAATTGGGGTGTGACCCAAGCAGGGAGCAGGTGAGTGGGCCACAAGTAGGGTAGAGTTGGGGCTCATGGGACCTAAAGACACTGGACCAGGGTGTGAGCTTCTTGGGTGTGGTGTGAGGGACCCAGCAGCTTGAGTCACTGATGGAACAATCTCAGATAGTTCAGATGTGGCCCAGTGAGGGGGGCTGTCCTTGGGCAGGGGAGGGACTCTTCCCCTTTCCAGGCCTTTTTCCCTTCAAACTGTGGGTGTTAAGAAAGTATAGACAACTCTGTGTAAAGCATTATAGTTCCAACAATAAGGACACTGAAGTCGAACCTGGGCTTGAGTCCTTCCTCCAAGAACCAGAAGCTTGTGACCTTATGACAGCTACATAAACTCTCTAAGCCTCTGTTTCTTTATCAGTGAAAATGGGGATCAAAGTATCCACGTCACTAGATTATCGAGAGGATTAGTGAGATAACGCATGGAAAGGGTTTGGCTCCTGACAGTACTCTAAGGAGTTTGATGGAGCTGGGTTGCACTAGCTGTGTGATTTGGGGTATGTTACTTAACCACTCAGTGCCTCTGTTTCCTTACAAGCAAATGGGTGGCGTCAGCAGAGACAAACCTCATAAGGTTGTTGTGGGGTTTCAATAACGTGATCCTCGGTAAATGCTTAGTGCAGTACTGGGCACTGAGCAAGCCCTAGAGACATGCCAGCCACCATCATTGTTATCACACCAGCCGTCACCACCATCATCCTTGTGATCATCATCGCCATCACCTTACAAAGACGTTTATTTAAGAAGCATGTGCCTGGCAATGTGACCTCGAGCCGGCCGGTTGATGATATGCACCACCCTGTAAGGTGTATCACTGTCAGAGAGTGGACATAATTTGCACTTGGTTCCTCCCCAGCCTTTCAAGTCCCCATGGGTAGCAGAGCTCCCTTGTCCAAGGTGCTGCTCCAAAGCCCAAATGCGGTTGTTGCTGTGACCAGTTCAGGGCCAAGGCCAGGCCTGGGCACATTTCCTCAGGATGGTGTGAAAGGTTAGAGTTTGGGGGTTCCCAGCTCCAAGGCTCCCTGCATTTACTACAGATCATCTCATTTAAGTCCCACAACAGCACTATGAGGTTGATTCCATTGCTTCTGACATGTGCTTCCTTGAATACTTTTCGGGAAGGGAAGTGAAACACCTACTTGTTAATTGCCTGGAAGTCTCACCTTGTCGGTCAGGCTGCTGTCGCAGGCCGGGTGTGCCAGGAGCAGCCGCACCATGTCGGCGTTGCCGTGGTGACAGGCCAGCATGAGGGCTGACGATCCTTCGTGGTCCTGCAGGTTGACATCTGCCTGGCAGTTGAGCAATGCCTGGACCATGTCCTCCCTGTCATGGCTGACTCCCAGCATCAGGGCAGTCTGGCCTCCCTGCCACACAGAGCACAGGGGAATGGTGAGGATCCCCTCTCCAGCCTGGGTATGCTTGGGCAAGAAGGTTCCAGAAAATGACCATTGAATCTGAATCTTCTCCTGCCCCTGGTAATGGACACATCCTTCTCCACCTGGCAAACTTCTGCTTTGCCAAAACACTAGTCAAATGCCACATCCTCTCTAGAGCCCTCTGCTAACACCCCAGGCACGGGATACATAACACAGCACTTACCACTTGGTATTGCAACCTGTCAATCTCTCTCCGTCTCGTGGACTGTGAAATTTTTGATGGCAGGGACTAAGCCTTTTTCATCTCTGTCTCCCCAGTGCCTGGCACCAAGTACATGCCGATAAACATGGAATGATAGAGTAAATGAAGGGATGAATGCTTCTGTACTGTGGCTTTTTACTCTCTGCCCTGGCCTAACTTCCTGCAGGAAGCCTTGGTCTACTCAGAACACCCCTGGTATGTTCAGTTCAGTGATACCTAGAACCCTCTTGTCTTGACAAGATCTCTGCCCGCATGGTCCTATGGTCATTGCTAATCTATCACCATTTGAACTTTTTTTTCAGGTTTTTTGGTTTTTTTACTTATTTAAATAATCTCTACATCCAACATGGGGCTCCAACTCACAACCCCAAGATCAAGAGTTGCATACTCTTCTGACTTGAGCCAGCCAAGTACCCTGGCATTGACAACTGTTCACATCCCTGTAATCATTAGTGCATGTGGCAGTGGCCTCGAGTCAGAAAAGTGAGTCCAAGCCCTGGTTCTCCTATTTCCTAGTGTGTGACTCTGGCCCCATCACTTGTATTCCCTGAATCTTGCCTTTTTCTTTTGTTAAAAATTATCATAATAATCTGTCCTGTGTACCTCACAGGGCTTTTGTGGGAATCCAGTGAAATAAAGGGTGTAAATAGAACAACGTATGGTAGCAATTTTGCTGATTATAAATGGGCCACTTATTTCTCATAGATTTTCCTTTATGTACATAGTCCTATTAAATGACCTGATTATATTTTTCCCTTATGGTTCTCCTGGGTTCCAGGTAGGTCAGGCTTGTCTCTCACTGGACACCAGGCTTTTTTAAGGTTGCAAGAATGAGGCAAGGACTATGTTTTCCCTCCTTTCAGATCCCTGTGGCTCTCAGCACCAGTCCTATGTGTAAAAAGTGCTGAGGACATGTTTGCTGATATGTTTGCTCACTGATTAAGGGCCTGTCTGTGGTCACTGATGGATTATGCTTCCCTGCCCAGAACTTTGGGACTTAGAGAAAAGAAAGGAGGTTTGCAATCAGGAAAATCCTGGCTGTGTCACTTATTATCTATGTGAATTGAGTTAACTATTATCTATGTGAATTGAGTTAACCTCTCAATGGCTTCTCCTGATCTAGTGAAATGGGAATGCTCAACAATATTACCTGCCTCATGGGGCTGTTCTGAGACTCATGTGCTTACCAAGTGCTGTGCATGTGTTAGCTATTATTGTTGTTATGAGCATGAGCGATAATGTGTGACAAATACCCAGTATGTGGGATTGTATTCTTAGGTATCCTGGTTCTCCATTTCTCTGGCACCCAGATAGATCTTTCCAGAGAAGCCTTGTTTGCCTTTTGGTTTGCTTATACTCAGCCCTGAAGTAATGGTTCTTTCTTTACTGGCCTAACTAGATCAGGAGATTTCCATCGAGACCCCTCTCTCCAAGTGGTATTAAAGCCAGATGACTTGTGTAGATTGTCCTCTTGTCTGTCCCTATGCCTGGCTTGGGGCCCCTGCCTTCCTCACCTCCCTCCTGGTCCAGTTCAATACAATTTAATTCAACGATATTTACAGAGTGCTGCTATATGCCAGGCACGGTGCTGATCCTGGAGATACAAAGAGAAATAAACAGCTTAGCCTAGGAGACTCCCAGCCTCCTAATTCACTATTTACCTGGTACCTGCAGCTCATATGCAGCTGAAATATGTAAAAGCCCTGGAGGGAGCTGAAGGGAGCAGTGGCAGCTATGAATTCCTTTCCCTCCTTAGCAACCTGGGATGAGACCCATGCCCTCCTAGAGCATCTATAAAAAAAAAAGGGCATTGATTTTGATTTTGATGAGCATCCCTTCTTAAAAGAGGGCCAATTTAGAAAAAAATTAACATATTTATGGCAAACATTTTAAAATGAAAGCAGCTTTCTTAAATCCCATGGGGTAGGAGCTCTAGGTGAAAATACTTTGAAAAACAGAAAGTGATCTACAAATGTCTGTTCCTTGCCATCAATAGGATCACTATTAGATAAAGTGTGCAAAGTGACTTTGCTATCTGGGTAGGCTACTGTCTGCAGTCACTTTCTGGGGGTGGGGGGGACAAGGGAGTTAAATATATTGTTGGGAGGCACTTTCTTATGGGTCTCTAAGTTTTTTGCATACTTTGTGAGTGAGACACTATCTGCTCTGTTGTTCTAGACTGTCTTTTTATTTATTGCTTTATTTTATTTTTTAAGTAGGCTCCACACCCAGCGTGGAGCCCATTGCGGGCCTTGAAGTCACAACCCTGAGATCCAGACCTGAGCTGAGATCAAGAGTCAGATGCTTAACTGACTGAGCCATCCAAACACCCCTAGACTGTCTTTTTAAAGATGCTTGTATAGTGAACAGCCTTGGAAGAAAGAGATAGCGTCTTCTCCAAAACAAAGGGCAAACATACTCACTATCCCATATAAAAGATTCAGGTTCCCTAAGCTCAGGGTTCCTTTCCAGTAATACAACCTACTCCATGTACAGGGATCTGACCCTCTTCACACCTGTGGGAATTGGGTATTGGGGCTCAGGGAACTGGTGTAAATACTGATGCCATGGCTACTCTTCCTGCTGTGAGTAATACACTGTCCATCTCTGGCACAGGAGTTTCATGTCTTCTGCCAGCGTCCATGACACTGTAGCATGCTAACTTGTTAGCATTAAAGTAGAGTACAATCTCAGACCCTTCACAGTTCTTGATAGTTAAGCTACATCTCTGATCACTCTGGGGGGAAAGAGAGTTGCATGCATTCTCTTGTTCTCATATTGGTCAAAGATGGGTAAGTGGTCTTTTGAGGAGTTCCCATTGTTCCATATGGAGCCTTGTCTAACTCAAAGCCCTTCGGGCTAAGGACCATGCCCCTATGCTATCCTCTCAAGTAGAGGGGCCCAGAAGCTAAACAGAGACATGCTAACCCTTTGAACTGCTTTCTAATTCATGATGGAGGTTGATCTCCTGCAGAGGCTTTCTACACAACCAACAAATGCCTTTCAGCATTTTCATGTCCTGCTGGTGCTAACTGTTCAAGAAGTCCGGTCCAGATGGACTTTGCCCAGTTTCAGACCAGGACACAGATTACAAGCTCACTGACCTCTGTCCTAGCCTGTCTGGGTCTCAGAAGCTTTTGAGGAAACCAAATGTACAGGCTTTGGACGGATGCCATTTGGAGGGCCCAGCCTTCTTGGGTTAAAAACTCTACAGGGATCTACATGCAATTTTTCACCCCACTGGCAGAATAAAACTGAGAGGTACCCATATTTATTAAAGAGGGGATCACATTCACACCTCTTACCTGAGTAGCTTGGATGTTCACATTTCCTTCTCTTAAGAGCTTCCAGACAACAGCCATGTCTTCGTCGGTCTCTGCAGAAGCCAAGGGAGTGATCATCACGGCAGTGTAGCCGGCTTTGTTCTGATGGTCAACATTGCAGACACCTGCAGGGGGAGCAGTAGGCACTGGGATAGCTCCCGGGTTTGGTGGGGGGGGGGGGGGGG